TTGGTCTCCATAGTCGGGACCATAATTCACTTAGTAATTCATCATTCCCTCTGGCTTTATCTAAGGTTGTTACTGACTATTTGTGCTTGCCACATCCTTGCCTGTACCATGCTCTGCAGGAGGACAAATATTCCTCTAAAAGGGGTTCCCACCAGTAGAAGAGCTGGTTCTGAATTCTAAGTTAAGGAGGGTAGGACAAGTGGTCCCATGTGGCCTTCAAGATCGACCCTTCCCCGTCCTCCACCCGCTCAGGGTGCTGGGGGCGGATCAGGCTCCCTAGTCCTCTGGTTTCCCGGCTTTTGCCAACAGGGGGCGCTGGTAGGAGAGGAGGGAGGGACGGCAAGGGGTCAGCTCTGAGCTGGTCTCACCTGACCAGGACCACAGCTCCTAGGGGTGATAACAGCTCCCCAACCTCACAGGACCCTAGGGTCACGTGCTACAGCTTCTCCCATTAAAAAAAAAATTTTTTTTAATGTTTATTTATTTTTGAGAGAGCGAGCGAGCGTGTATGTGAGCAGGGGAGGGACAGGGAGGGAAGGAGACAGAGGATCGGAAGCAGGCTCCAGGCTCCAAGCTGTCAGAAAAGAGCCTGATGTGGGGCTCGAACTCACGAACCGTGAAATCATGACCTGAGCCGAAGTTGGACGCTTAATCACTAAGCCACGCAGGTGCCCCCTCCCATTTCTATAACAGACCTCAAGTCACCCACGTAACAGTCTGCTTCTCAGGGGACCCTAACCATAAAGGGTTTTTCCTCTTACCTAAAGGGTTTTTTAAATTAATTAGTTAATTAATTAAGCTCCCTCTCTCTCTGCCCCTCCTCCGCTCACACTCTATTTTCTTTTTTTTAAATATAATTTATTGTCAAATTGGCTTACATACAACACCCAGTGCTCATCCCAACAGGTGCCCTCCTCAGTGCCCATCACCCATTTTCCCCTCTCCCCCAACCCCCCATCCACCCTCAGTTTGTTCTCTATATTTAGAAGTCTCTTGTGGTTTGTCTCCCTCCCTCATTGTAACTATTTTTTCCCTCTCAAAGGCTTATATTTTAAAATAATTTAAAAATATTTAGCTTTGGGGTGACTCGGTAGCTCAGTAGGCTAAGCGTCCAATTTCACCTCATGTCATGATCTCATGGTTCATGGGTTCAAGCCCTGCATCAGGCTCTGTGCTGACAGCTCAGAGCCTGGAGCCTGTTTCAGACTCGTGTGTGTGTGTGTGTGTGTGTGTGTGTGTGTGTGTCTGCCCCTCTCCTGCTCACGCTCTGTCTCTCTCTCTCTCAAAAATAAACATTAAAAAAAATTTTTTAAAGAATAAAAAATAGGGGCACCTGGGTGGCTCAGTCCGTTGGGTGGCCGACTTCGGCTCAGGTCATGATCTCACGGCTTGTGGTTTCAAGCCCCACGTCTGGCTCTGTGCTGACAGCTCAGAGCCTGGAGCCTGTTTCGGATTCTGTGTCTCCCTCTCTCTCTGACCCTCCCCTGCTCACGCTGTCTCTCTCTCAGAAATAAATTAAAAACATTTAAAAAAAAAAGAATAAAAATATTTAGTTTTATTATTGGTGTAACTATCACAAGCAGGAAACACATTCAGCGCACACTGGAAGACAATAGTGTTTTCTCACATTTCCAGCCTCAAGGAAATCACTGTTGATCGTTAGGTGTTTAGTCTTCTAGTCTTTCTTGGGGCAGGAATTTGGGGTCAGACAGAGCCGACCCTGAGTCCCAGCCTGGCCACGACATGCTGTGTGATCTTGGTCAAGTTTCTTAACCTCACTGAGCTTCCGTTTCCTCATCTATAAATGGAGTAATCGACGTACTCGCTTCGTCGGCTTGCTGGGAGGTGCAATGCCCAGGATTGATAGATAGCAGCCCTTTCTACACGTATCAGTGTTACAAGTAGTTCTTCAAATCCCCATTCAGCCGTTGTTCTAGACATATCAGGATCCCAGCTCTGTGCTTTGTGGTCAAAGCAAGTTCTGCTCTCATTTCAGTCCTAGAACCTCACAAGGCTGCTGGTAGGTTTCCAGGCTTTTTTTTTTTTTTTTTGAGGTCTTAGGTCTGTTTTTTATAGTTTTTCTGCTAGCCCCCTAAAAAATTGAAGTTCATGTTTATCTAGTACTTAGTAGGTACGAGGCACCGTGTTACACACCTGATAGACATAACTTTCTGTAACCCTCACAATAACCCATTTTCTAGAAGCTGGAATGAAGGCACAGCTAGTAAGTGGTGGAGATAAGATTTCTTGCCATTCCCTGCCTTCGGTGCTGTTAGTACGCCTGCCTTGAGTCGCTCCTGGCGCCCATGTAACGTAATCAATCTTGTTATTGTGTCAGTGAAGGCACTGTACATAAAAGCCATAGCCATGGGGCGCCTGGGTGGCTCAGTCCATTAAGCCTCTGACTTTGATTTTGGCGCAGGTCGTGTGATCTCATGGTCCATGAGCCGTGAGATCGAGCCCCGAGTCAGGCTCCCTGCTGACAGCACGTGGAGACTGCTTGGGATTCTCTCTCTGCCCCTCTCCTACTTGCTCTCTTTCTCGAAATATATATACAAAAAAATTTTTTTAAAAAGAAAGGGGCGCCTGGGTGGCTCAGTCGGTGAAGCTTCCGACTTTGGCTCAGGTCATGATCTCACGGTTCGTGGGTTCGAGCCCCACGATGGGCTCTGCACTGACAGCTAGCTCAGAGCCTGGAGCCTGCTTCGGATTCTGTGTCTCTCTCTCTATATATATATGACCCTTGCTTGCTCACACTGTCTCTCCCTCTCTCTCAGAAATAAATAAAAAAAAACATTAAAATTTTTTAAAAAATACTTTAAAAAGCCAGAGCCATCAGTTCAATTCAATTCCACAAAAATATATTGACCACCCACTACATGCCAGGCGTTATGCTTCTCAAGACAAGATTAATGGATCCCTCTCTTTCTGGAGTGTATAGACTGGGTCACATGCTTGCATTGATGCCTGGACTTTGTGCTGTGTGCTTTGGTTCATAGAGCTTCCCCTTGTATTTGGATACTCCAGGTAGTTAAAGGTGTTGGAATAATGACTGGGGGGCCGTATGTCGGTGTTATTAGTGTTGCTTTACCAACAGTTAAAACCAATTTGGGGGTTGGGGAGTCGAGAAGTTTAGGGGCCCAAGCTCTGGCCCCCCTAATGCCTGGATTTGAATTCCCGCTTCATGATTCCTTGTGGGTGACATTGGACAAGTCCCCTCATCTCCCTATGCCTCAGTTACTCCATCTGCCAAACAGACCTCATGTTAGCAACCTGCCTTCTAGAATCATGGTGAAAAAGCAGGGCGCTCCCTAAAGCTTTAGACAGCTTCCGGCACAAAGCAAGCACTCGGTAAGTGATAGACTATGAGGATGATCTCTACAGGCCCCCAGGGGAGTAGCCGGAAGGAGGACCCAGATTCTGAACCCTCAGGGCTGGTGGGGAGGTGTAGGAGGGACCCCAGGCTTCCTGGGGCTGCCAAATAGGGTAGAGGTGCGGTTGGGGGTTCTGGCCGAGCCCAGCAGGCACGTTAATTACTTCTCAGGGTCACGGGTCTTAAGGAGCCCCTCTGCGGGATCTCACCCGGCCCTCTGTATATTGATCTCGTCTAATCTCTCAGCACGCGGGCGGGTCTCTAAATCCTCCTTAACTCGCCTTTCCTGCCCTCTCTGGGCAGAGAGGCCCCAGGCAGGGCTTAGCTCGCAGCAAGGAGGGCTGGGAAGCCAGAGTGCTTTGGGGGACACCTCTGCCCCTCATAACAGAAGATAGACAGCACGGTGTATACACAGGGGACGTCCCCCGGATGGGGGAGGGGCAGGCTGGCACTTGGTCCCCTCTCCCCGCCAGTACGCGCCAGGACACTGCCCACCGCTCCCCGGGTCCCCAGAATCCACCGTTGTGGCTGCAGAACGGGTAAGCCGCCTCTCCCGGGCAGCCAGCCGTGGCGCCCCACTGTCCCCATTGGGGGCTGGAGGAGGATTTGGGAGCCCATGAAGGGCCCTGCTTTGATGCTCTGTTTTCTTGCAGAAGCCACAGCTGCCCGGAGAGGCCGCCTGGCTGGGCTCTGCTGGGGCGATTCGCATCTGCTTGTCCCGGGGTTACCAGTGCTTTTCCGGCCAACGTCAGGTGATAGGGGGCTCCCTGGGAGGCCTCAGTTCCCACCCTTGAAGTGAGCTCTGGTTGAGGGGTGAGGAACCCTGGGGTTCTGCAGAGATGCCTGGTCGGGGAGAGAAGGTCACAGGAGGCTGGTGGGATACGTGGGGAGCTAGTGCAGGGACGCAGCTTGGTGACATCATTCAAGCTCTGAAGACAGAGCCGTCTGGGTTTGAATCCACTTTTTTTTTTTTTTTATTTCTAGAGAGAGAGAGAGCGTGAGCAGGGGAGGGTCAGAGAGAGAGGGAGTCACAGACTGAAACAGGCTCCAGGCTCTGAGCTGGCAGTCAGCACAGAGCCCGACGCGGGGCTCGAACCCACGAACCGTGAGATCATGACCCAAGCGAAAGTCGGACGCCCAACCGACTAAGCCACCCAGGCGCCCCTGAATCCACTTTTTTACTGGGAGACCGTGAGCCAGTGACTTTGCCTCTCAGGGCCTGCTTCCTCCCCTGTTACGCGTCACCTCCCTGTTTGGGGTCAAGAGCTGAGTTCATGAAATGGTTCTGAGTGAGTGCTCCTCCCCGGCCAAGAGAAAAGGTTATCAGCCAACAGATACACGAAGAACGATGAGGGGGCGGCAGGTCTGGGGCTGCATGCTGAAGCAGACAGGAGCCCTTGCCCTTGGCCAGGTGGCACGGAGGGCGTGGGCATGAGGTGGGTGTCTGTGGGGGTAGGGAGCGCCTGTTGGAGGGTCCGCACAGCCCCCACATCACATCTCCCTCCCTGGAGTGCGTGATGGAGCTCGGTGGTCCGGTCTGAGTTCAGGGTCAGGCACGGGTGGGCCTCGGTGGTTGGATGTCCCTGGCACACCCCTGCAGTGCACTTGGGACAAATCTGGACCATACCTGGAGTACATCTTCCAGGCTTCCAGCCGCTGGTCCATCCTGGCCCGGCTCAGCCAGCATCAGAGAGGCACTCGGCACCTGCGTGAGGTCTCCTTTCCTGAGAAAACACAAAATCGGGAACATGTAAGGAGCGCTTAGTGTATGCCAGGCACTGCCCCGAGCACTTCACGTTCATCACGGCACTTAACTTTTAGAACAACCTGTGAGCTGGAGGCCATCAGTGCTGCTGGCCAAGAATTGTGCTTCCTGCGCACCTGTGGGGAGGGTCACGTGACCACTTCTGACCAATGAATTGTGAGTGGAACTGACACATGTCATTCCCAACTAGAGCGTGTAATTGCCTGTGCGTGATCTTCCAACGCTCTTATTTCCTTCTGCCATGATGGCAAGCGATGTTCCGGAATGTTCCAGAGTGTGTTCCACCAGTGACTATGATAAGGAGACCCTCCCCACAATGGCCCCAAATAGACATGAAGCATGAGTGAGAAACAAACCTGTGGTTTTCAGTTACTCCGATGCTGCGTTTCTTTTTTTCTGCAGCCTAGACTCACCATCAGAAATTACACCCCACTTTGTACAGTTGAGGAAATTGAGACACAGACAGGTTAAGTCACTTGCCCTCCAGCTAGTAAGTGACAGAGTCAGAGTTAGAATCTGGACAGTCCAGGGGCGCCTGGATGGCTGAGTCAGTTGAGCATCCGACTTCAGCTCAGGTCATGATCTTGCGGTTGGTGGGTTCAAGCCCCGCGTGGGATCTGTGTGGACAGATTCTGCGTCTCCCTCCCTCTCTCTGCCCTTCCCCTGCTCACACTCTGTCTCAAAAAATAAATAAACATTAAGAAAAAATTTTTAATAAAAGAAAAAAAGAAAGTTTAGTTCCTGCAGCCCCACCTGGTCCCCCTCCGGGGCCCAATTCCCCTGAGTCCTAGCAGATCTGGACCCCATTCCCCGGCCCCTCCCACACCCTGTCCACGGGAGCCCCAGCACTCCCGCCAAGGCCGCCTGGAAGAGAAGGAGGTCAAACGTTGCAAAAGTCCTGAGGCCAGATGGCGGTGGAGCCCTGAGCTGAACTTTCAGAAATGTCTTCTTACCTCTTCATCCCAGGCTGCTTCCTCCCCTCTCCCAGGGTCTCCGAGGTCCCCCGCTGCAGCCCCAGAGAGCCAACACTACAGCGTCCCCTGCCCTCCGAGGCTCTCCGGGAACACGGGCCAGGCGGGGCTCAGGACACCTCCCTGCAAACCTCAGCTCCTCCTGCCCTGAGCGGTTAACTCGACACTTACTCTACATTAAATACCAATTGGGCCAATTTTCTGCTGTAATTAAAACCTCTGCAGACGTGTTCCCTGCTCAGCAGTGATGAGTTTATTAACCTCCAGCTCTGAAGGAATGTGGGGCAGGGAGAAGGACAGGAAAGTGTTTGGCTCCAGGCAGGGGGCGGGCGGCCAGATGGCCGTGTTTGCAGAAGTGTCAGCCTCTGTGTGTTGCCTGTCCCTGGGGATGGAGCCTCAGAAATACCCATCCCAGACTCGTGGACCTGATGCAGCCCCAGCACCATCACAGAGGGTCTTTTGAGAGTTCCAACTTCCCAGACTGCTGACCAGCAGCTTGTCTGGAACCCGGAGACACGGCCTCTTTCAGCTCAGCAATCTGGGCTTGTTTGTCATGCAGCATAACCCAGACTGTGGTGACTATTACATATTATATTCCCACTTACAGAAGGTGAAACTGAGGCAGCCCAGTTCCCAAGACAGTTCTTGGCAAGGGAGCCCCAGATTCTAGAGAAATACTCTGAAGGTTGAAGGGGAAGCAGGGCCCGCAGGTTCCCTCGTCTGCTGCAAGTGTGAGATTCAAGGCTGCCAGCCGCAGGGCAGCACACCTGGGGCAGCTCAAGCCATCAAGGGTCTCTGTTTCATCAGAGAAAACCTGCAGATTGGAACACGAGTGAGCCTCCAAAAGCAACTCTTTTGTTCTTTTGATCAATAGATTTTATTTCTTTTTCCTTTTTATTCTTTTTAAAAATGTATTTATTGGGGCGCCTGGGTAGCTCAGTCATTAAGCGTCTGACTTTGGCTGAGGTCATGATCTCACAGTCCGTGGGTTCAATCCCTGCATTGGGCTCTGTGCTGACAGCTCAGAGCCTGGAGCCTGCTTCAGATTCTGTGTCTCCCTCTCTCTCTGCCCCTCCCCTGCTCATGCTCTGTCTCTCTCTCTCAAAAATAAATAAACATTAAAAAATTAAAAATTAAAAAATCTCTCTCTTGAGAGAGCGAGCCAGCAGGGGAGGAGCAGAGAGAGAGAGAGAGAGAGAGAGGAGGAGGAAGAGGGAGAGAATCCCAAGCAGGCTGCACACTGTCCACGCAAGAGCCCACCGCCGGGTTCTCCCACGAACCGTGAGATCATGATCTGAGCAGAAACCAAGAGTCAGATGCTCAACCAACTGAGCTACCCCAGTGCCCTTGCGGGACAATTACAATTGGACTCTGTGGGTGGGCCAAGGGGCCCCCCAGCTGAGGTCTGGCATCCAGAGGCCCTGGGGACGTCCCCCCTGCCCCCTCCCCCTCCCCCCCATGTTCCACGTGACATTTCGCCTCCTGTTCACTCCCCCCACCCGCTCCCTCCCTCTGCAGCTTCTGTCTTTCCTTCTGTTCTCTCTCCCGGGCTCCTCCAACACGCTCCTCCCCAGCTCCTCCCCAGCTCCCCCCCAGCTCCCCGCCACTTCCTTGCCCCAGACGCAGGGATGTGAGAAAGTTCCAGCAGAAACTGCAATCTCCTCTCCTCTCATGTGGCTCCTAGATAAGACAGTAAAAATCCGATTTTCAGCAATTTGCTTCATTTGTGAGCTCTCCCTCGTCTCCCTTTCTCCCCCTGACACCAGCTTAGCAAAATTGCCTGGGCGGAGTGGATATTTTTAACTACTTAGTAGTCAGAGGAGGATCATAAAAAGTTTTGCAGGCAACCGGCCGGCCGGTGCAGCCAGCTGCTGGCGGCGAGCGCTGGGGGTTAGCCGAGGAGGAGTGGGGAGGTTCGAGGGGCCAAGGCTTCTTGTCTCGCAACAGAAGAGATACCAAAGGGGCTTCCCCAGCACTTCGGGAAGGGGTATCTCCTTCCCCAAACCAGAGGCGGTGGTGGCGGGGACACAGTCAACATTTATTGAGCGCCTTCTGGGTGCCAGGCACACGAGGCTTGCTTTATGTGTACTGAGTCCCCGTCGCGATTGCTGAAGGAAGCATTCTTCTTTTATGGGTATTAGTTAAGGCAAATACGAGGCTGGGTAGCGCCAAGGCCCCCAGGTGGAGGTTCTCCGACCCCATCACTGTCCAAATGGTTGCTATTTTATTTTTATTTTTTAATGTTTATTTATTTTTGAGAGAGAGACAGAATGTGGGGGGGTGGGAGGGACAGAGGGAGACGGAGACACAGAATCTGAAGCAGGCTCCAGGCTCTGAGCTGTTTCCACAGAGCCCATCGTGGGTCTTGAACCCACCAATGATGAAATCAGGACCTGAGCTGAAGTCTGTCGCTTAACCGACTGAGCGGCTCAGGTGCCCCCATGAACGGTTGCTATTTGGAACACGCAGCTCCACCATTACCTGAGTTTGACATCACACTCTTGCCATTGAACCCAGGAACCCAGAGGGTGCAGAGAACAAGGGAAATATCATGGCTTAAAGAACACAGGTCGGGGCGCCTGGGTGGCTCAGTTGGTTAAGCGTCCGACTTCGGCTCAGGTCATGATCTCGCGGTTCGTGGGTTCCAGCCCCGCGTCGGGCTCTGTGCTGACAGCTAGCTCAGAGCCTGGGGCCTGTTTCGGATTGTGTGTCTCCCTCTCTCTCTGACCCTCCCCTGCTCACGCTGTCTCTCTCTCTCTCAGAAATAAATAAAACATTAAAAAAAAAAGAACACAGGTAGTTTTACTTTCATTTTTATAATTTGCTTGTTTATTTATTTTGAGAGGCAAAGACAGCGTGCATGTGGGAGGGCCAGAGAGAGAGAGACAGAGAGAGGGAATTCTAAGCAGGCTCCACGCTGCCAGCACACAGCCCAATGTAGGGCTCGAACCCACAAAGCCGCGAGATCATGACCTGAGCTGAAGCCAAGAGTCGGACGCTTAACGGACTGAGCCCCCCAGGCGTCCCCAGAACACAGGTCCCTTCTGACTCCCACGGCCATAGCTGTCTGGTCTGTGGTCCGCAAAGCCAACCACTCTCCCTAGAGTCGCAGGCTGTCTTCGAGGATCTCACAGATGCCAGGCCATTCAGGCTGTTGTAACAGGTGATAATAGACTGGGCGGCTTGTAAGCAAAAGACATGTACTGCTAGGTTCTGGAATCTGGAAGTCCAAGACCAAGGTGCCAGCAGATTTGGTGCCTGGTGGGGACCTGCTTCCTGGCTCGTGGATGGCTGTCTTCTCAATGGGTCCTCTTATGGTGGAAGGGACGAGAGAGACCTCTGGGGTCTCCTCATAAGGTCAGCAATCCCATTCGTGAGGACTCCATCCTCATGACCTAATCACCCCAAAGACCACCCCGCCCAGTTGTCCCCATACTGAGGATTCGGTTCCAACACCTGAATTTGGAGGAGGACACAGTCTATACCAGCTGGCTACCTAGATGTTTTGTCCGTGTGTGACAAGGGCACCACGTTCCCGGCCTGTCAGATGTGAGTCCTCACCAGCTGCCCACCTGCTAAATAATGCCAGGTGTTTTAGATGCTGTGACCAGATTGTTAGCTACAATAGCATTTTGGCTGCCGGATCAGAAATCCAAGATTTCAGTGGCTCAAACAAGAGATAACTTTTTAAGGTTTATTTATTTATCTAAGTAGTCTCTACAGTCACTGTGGGGTTTGAACTCACGACCGCGAGATGAAGAGTTGTGTGCTCTCCCAACTGAGTCAGCCCGGTGTCCCGAGAGATAATTTTATTTACTACTTACTTGAGAGTCTGGTTGTAAACGGTCCAGGGCAGAGGTGTTGGCTACATTGCGGTGAGGATGTAGGCACTTTCTGTCTCCTGGTCTGCCACCTCTAGGGTGGGCCACGATGACTCCCCAACATGACCACTTTTCAGCCAGTGGGAGGAGAAAGGTCAGGGGAGGCTCCGCCCCTTCCCCTCAAGGGCAGAGCCCAGAAGGTGCACGTGCAGCTGCTGTTCACCTGCCATTGGTCAGAACAAAGTCACATGGTAAGCCTCAAGGAAAGCTGGGAAATGAAGTCATTTTCCTGGGTGGCCACGTACCCAGGTTTAAAATGGAGATGATTTGGGGCACCTGGGTGGCTCAGTTGGATAAGCATCTGACTTAATTTTTGGCTCAGGTCATGATCTCGTGGTTCGTGAGTTCAAGCCCCACATCGGTCTCTGTGCTGACAGCACAGAGCCTGCTTAGGATTCTCTCTCCCTCTCTTTCTCCTTTCTCTGCCCCTACCCCGCTTGCACCCTCTCTCTCAAAAAATATAAATAAACTAAAAAAAATTTTTTTTAATGGAGATTCTTTATTAATACAAAAGACAAGGAGAATGGAGGGGAGAATGGGATGTGACCACCTAATGGGTACAGGGTTCCCACTGAGAGTGATGAAATAGTTCTGAACTAGACAGTGGTGATGGTTACACTTCGAGAAAAGAGATTATTCAGTTTCAGGAATTCCAAATAAAAGCTGTGCTGTCTAATTAACAATTGGTTTACACCCTATGGGAAATATGTACGACCCCTACCCCCCATGGAGTCCCAAATACTTAGACACTTCACTTCCTGGTTCTTCTTCCTTTCTCCCTTTCACGGGTTTATTTTTGCAGGCTTTGTAATGAGCATGAGTCAAAGAAAAAAGGGAGGAGAGGCTGAAAGTCTCTGTGTCAACTCAGGGGATGTACATTTGTGGCAGTAACTTACATGGGCATAAGTGATGCCCAGGTAAAGCTGTAACGTCCCAGTACTCAACCAATGAGGAACCAGGGGAGGGACTTGCCTCCCGGTAAGGCTGTAACCTCCCAGTATTCAGCCAATGAGGAACCAGGGGAGGGACTTGCCTCCCGGTAAGGCTGTAACCTCCCAGTACTCAGCCAATGAGGAACCAGGGGAGGGACTTGCACGCTAGGAGATAAATTGTCTGCTGTAACTGCCCGGAGTGTGCCTGTTCATCAGACGCCTGCTCTAGCAAGAACGTTGATTAAACCCTAGCTTCACTGTGCTCTGAGTCTCCACGTCCTTCCTTTGATTGGGGCAGTGGACTTATTTCTAACATACACAATGCTGTGAATATACTTAATGCCACCAAATTGTATACTTTAACGTAGTTATAATAGGGGCGCCTGGATGGCTCAGTCGGTTAAGCGCCTGACTTCGGCTCAGGTCATGATCTCACGGTTCAGTGGGTTCCAGCCCCAAGTCAGGCTCTGTGCTGACAGCTCAGAGCCTGGAGCCTGCTTCAGATTCCGTGTCTCCCTCTCTCTGCTGACTTGCAATCTGTCTCTCTCTCTAAAATAAATAAACGTTAAAAATTTTTAAATAAATAAAATAGTTATAATAGTAAACTTTAGGCTGTATTTTATCACAATAAAAAAGAATTTACTTACAAGAAAAGAGATATTGGAAGACAGAAGCAGGAACCCAAGGGAAGAGAGAGAGCAAGCCATGCATATGCCAGGGGCACAGATTTTTCCTGAAGGGAGGAAAGGCATATGTAAAGGCCCTTTGCCTGGAACTTCTTGATGTGCTTGAGACACATCGAGGAGGCTGGAGTGAGAGAGGGGACAGTGGTAAAAGATGAGGGCAGGGAGGTGACGGGGCAATAAGCTGTGGGGAGGAGACAGATTTTTTCTGAGTGATGAGAAGCTGCTGGAGGGTTCTGATCATGAAAGTGACCAGGCCCAACTTAGGTTTTGAAGCAATTACTCAAGCTGCTTTACCTTCTGGTGCTCTGAGCACACTAAGAGGGCTGAAATTCAGGTTTCCCCAAGCCCAGGCTTCCTGGGGATAGATAGCCCCCGCCTCCCACAGCTCCCACCTGGCCTCCCTCATCCATTTTCCCTTCCCCTCCACAGGCTTTCCCCTTCTCGGTTGGCTGTCGGGAGCAGAGAGCAGAAGCTTGAGGTGTGGAGTCAGGGTTGGAACCTCAGTTCCAACACTGAATAGCTCTGTGATCCTATGCTGTAGACTGAATGTGTCATCCTAAAGTTCATGTAATGAAGCCACAATCCTCGATGGGGCTGTATTTGGAGATTGAGTCTTTACATGAAGCCACTGGGGGGAAGGGGCATGATCCAGTAGGATTAGTGTCCTTTAAAGAAGAGACTGGAGGGGCACCTGGGTGGCTCAGTCAGTTAAGCTTCCGACTTCAGCTCAGGTCATGATCTCATGGTTCGTGGGTTCGAGACCCACGTAGGGCTGTGTGCTGACAGTTCAGAGCCTGGAGCCTGTCTTCAGATTCTGTGTCTCCCTCTCTCTCTGACGCTCCCCTGCTCATGCTGTCTCTATCTCTCTCTCAAAAAAATAAATAAAACATGTTTTTAAAAAAAAGAAGAGGCTGGAGAGGGTGTGCATTCTCTCTCTCCCTCTCTCTTTTCCTGCCACATCAGATTCAGTAAGAAGGGAAGGTAGCCGTCTTGAAACCATGAAGGTTATTGTCACCAGAGTCCAGACCAGCTGACGGCTTGATCTTGGGCTTCCAGTCTCCAGAAACCATGAGAAACAAACTTCTGCTGTTTACTGTGTGCACACATGTGTGTGTGTGCATGCGCGCGCGCACACACACACACACACACACACACACAATCTCTAGTAGTTTGCTACGGCAGCCCAAGCAGACTAATGTACCTTGTTTGAGGGACTTAACTTCTCCATGCCTCAGTTTCTTCATCACAAAGATGGGCTTATAAATACACCATAGACAAAAGAATAAAAATAAATAAATACACAAATAAATAAATACACCATAGACTATCTTGAGGCTCCAGAAGCAAAGAAAGCATGTGAACAGTGCCTAGTGCCTACACGGCTCTCAACAAATGCCGGAGTATCCATTAGGACAGGCTTGATGAAGCCAACGCTGCGGGTTCCCCATGACACTGGCCGTCCTGTGCTGCTGGCACCTGCGACTCTCTGCCTGAGGGCTTGTCCTCAGGAGAAAGCAGCTGGGAGTTGGTGCCCCCAGGAGCAGCCTCGCAAATGAAAGACAAAGGTTGGAGGATAAACACCCCAGATCCGTCCTACCTTGGGTGGAACAACGCCGAGGTGTGTTCTTGCAAAGTGTATAAGTGCACAAGCCCACCCTCACGTCTACACCAGCAGCAAGGGTAGAGTCCCTGAGACCACCTCAGTTTCGATATTCCCCTAGGACTCCCTGAGAGCTCTCATATGCACAATGTTATGGTTCATCTCAGGAAAGGGTACAGATTAAAATCAACCAAGGGAAGAGGCACGTAGGGCAGGATGCAGGAGACCCCAGAAGCGAGCTTCCAGCCGTGCCCTCCCACGGGAGTTGTGTAGCGCATGAAACACTCATGGTGTACTGCCAACCTCGGGTGCTCACTCCAGCCGTGGTGTCCAGAGTTTTTACTGGGTCTGTGTCACACAGACTTGCTGACCATCCGTGGGGCTGACCTCAGTCTCCAGCCCCTCCAGAGGTCGGGCTGACACTGGGTGGCCCAAGTCCCCTACCCCCACCCCATAAATCACCCCGTTGCCACCTAGTGTGACCAAAGGCCCCCACCATCAATCATATTGATAGAAGAGACTGGCTCGAGGTCCCAGGTAATGAAAAACACTCTAACCAAGCAAGATGCTCCAGGGCTTACAGGTCACCTCTCAGGGGCGAAAGACAAAGACTAGACCTTTCTTTGGGTAAGGTTAATCCTTTACTGCACACATCTACAGCGTCTCCCAGAATTCTCCTGCGGGACTGAGCTTCAGTTGCCCACAGCAGTAACCTCAACAATGTGCCCATTCTTGCCTCCCTCATTTCCTCACTCTCCTTCCTGGGGTCACTTCCCAAAAAAATGATTTGCACTTGCAACCTTGCTTCTAGGCGGAGCCACTATTGCAGGCTGAATGACGCCCCCCCCCAAAGATATCAGTTCCTGTGCTCTGGGACCTGGGAATGCGACCTTCTGTGGCAAAAGAGATTTTACAGATGGGATTAAGTTAAGGCTCTTGAAATAGGAGCTCATCCTAGATCATCCGGGGCGGCCCTAAATGCAATCCTAAGTGTCCTTATAAGAAGGAAGCAGAAGGAGGGGGTTAGGAGATGCTACCCGGCTGGCTTTGAGGATGGAAGAAGGGGGCCCTGAGCCGAGGGACACAGCACCGCCGCTCTTGCAGCCGGAAAAGTCGAGAAAGCAGACTCTTCCCTACAGACTCCCAAAGCAGCGGGTTCCTGCTGACACCTTCCTTACCTTCAGTCCAGTGAATCCGATTTCAGACTTCTGACCTCCAGAACTGTAAGGAAAGAAAAGTTTGTGGGAATTTCTTACATCGGCCATAGACTATTGATACACCGAGATGCGAGGTCATGCGGTGGAAACCCCAACATTTCAGTGACTTAAAAGTTTGTTTCTTGCTCGGGGCGCCTGGGTGGCTTAGTCGGTTAAGCGTCCGACTTTCGCTTAGGTCATGATCTCGCGGTTTGTGGGTTCGAGCCCCGCATCGGTCTCTGTGCTGACTGCCAGCTCAGAGCCTGGAGCCTGTTTCAGTCTGTGACTCCCTCTCTCTCTGACCCTCCCCCGCTCACGCTGTCTCTCTCTCTCTCTTAGAAATAAATTTAAAAAATTTTTTAAAAAAGTTTGTTTCTTGCTCACGTTACATGACCATCTGGACCCACCTGGGGCCTGTCTTTGGATCATCGTCATAGCAGGATCCAGGCTGAGGAGGCAGCAACTATCTAGTACATTCTTAGTCACTGCAGCAGAGAAAAGAGAGCAGAGGCTCCGGCATCAGTGATTAAATACGCCAACCTGGCGATGACATCATCGCTTCTGCTTGCAGCTGATTGGCCAGCCGTCATCACATGCTCCAGCCAACCACTGGGGAGCCCAGAAGTGCCACCCATCACGTGCCCAGAAGGTGG